TTTGACAAGGGGAATTGTTATCTAGGGGACCACGAAAGTCAGGAAGCTGAAATATTATATCACTGTCCTCTAACTGCGTGCGACCCAGTAAATTTAAATTCGGCCTTCCCGTGCGCCTGGATTTAACATATGGCACCGTGAAAATTTTGGCGGAGGAATTTGCTATCTCGGGAATCGCGGAAGCTAGGAGACTGCGATTTCAGGGGAATGTTTCCTGCTCACGTACGACTTCGCAAATTTCAATTCGCTCTCCACGTACCGCTGGGCACCATTGCGGCTCTGTGAAAGTTTTAGGGGGAAATTACTATTGCAGAAGCCGGAAGAGCTAGGAAGCTGAAAATTTCAGGAGAATGTGTTCTGCCTTTGCAGGGTTCCCACAAACTCAAGCTTAATTCCTATGTATGCCGGGTTTGTCACATACGGTCACACAGCGTGCACCTCACTCGGAAGACAGAAAATCGGGGGTTTCGAATTTTGCAAGGACATCCACCATCCGAGGTTTTGATTTCAGGTTTCACCTACGCCTAAGCTCCACGTATCGACAAGTGAAATTTTCAGCATGGAATTTTGTAGCTTTGGAACCAGTCCGTATAACTGTTTTTGCACAGAACAACGTGTAAAACATCGAAAATCTTTGGCAGGCAAGAGGAACTGAGCAAAACGCGTGATCGCATCGGCTACACTGGCGCGCCGCCATTTGCGTTTTTCGTATCTATGCAATGCAAAAATACATATTGTTCAGGGGTTGTTTGTTTGTGTCTCTACCGATTTTTCACTCCGACACCCAAAAAAGCCATAAGAATAAAACTTTGGCAACTTAATCTACACTTACGTGCCGGCCGCTGTCCTCAAGATTACCGCTCACGCCCGTGTGATACTCACAGGCACATGAGATTTTTGATGGGAAAATTGCTCATTCGGGAACCAGAAAAGCTAGAAAGCTGAAGCTTTAAGGGGATGTTCCCGGTTAAGATTTCAAATTACGTGCGGTACTCACATGCGGACACCCTAGAATTTTTTGCGGGAAAATTGCCAATTCGGGAACTGGAAAAGCTGGGCCTGGGGCAGCTTTTATGCCTGGTTTAGGTGTCGGCGTTTAGCCGGTGAACATG